ATGATACATAGAATCAGTAATGATGACAGAGTCAAGCTCAGTGTCATAGGTTAGCTTTAGCGCCATTGGGATTGCAAACAATTCAGTTTGCAGTGTAGACGCCCAGTTGTTAATTCTTATGCCTAACTCAACAAATTTATTATGTTCTTAACTAGGGAGGTGGCAACAAGAGCAGATGCAGCCCTGCCAGAAGACTCGTGTTTAGATCCATCAGTGTATATAACTTGTGATAACTATTATACCAGCTAGGTGAGAAATTTCTTCTTGAGCGTTGCTCTAACAAGAGATTTAATGAAGGGATTACTAGCAATGAGCTTCTTGGGAGGGACTTGTAGGTATGTGATATTAAATGAACACATCTTCCATGGAGGGGTGAAATGCTCTTGTTGCCTACAGTGATACAGTTCATGCAGGTTAAAAAAACTTAATGCAATTGCACGTTTTCACAATCCATTTAGATCTGTGTGTATTTACCTCTAGACACTTGGTAAGATTCACTGTGACAGTGTCTGGTTCGTTTCTCCAACATTCTAATACCGAGTACAGTGTTAATTTCAACAATCCTATCACTGATTAGAAATACCAAGCTCCTTCCTCATGTTAGAAATTTTTGTAGATCTGGGACAGCCAAGAATAATCCTGAGAGCTTCATTTTGCATTAACTCCAAGGGTCGGAGAGAACTTTCTCTAGCTAATATCAACAATGGGAGCAGCATAATCAATTAAGGACCTAACATAGGGTATGTACATCATTCTCACGATTCTCACATTAGCACCATAGTTGGGATTGTAGCCAGCAACAGCTTTGAGAGCATTTAGCCTAGCTTTACATTTCTTGTTTATTTGTGTATAGTGGATTTGTTAAAGGGTACATCTACACCAAGATATCTGTAAGTTTTAACGTAGCTAATGATTTCACCCTGCAAATAGATGGGTGGGGATGTCGTTTGCTTGTTAATATCTTTGTTTTAGAGGAAGATATTATGAGGCCTAGTCGATTACAAATTGCTTGAACTTCATTAAGAATGATATTCATCTTCTTATGCCCTGTTGTATGGATCATGATATCATCAGCATAGCTTATAGCTATATGTTTAGGTGAGGCAGGTAGAGCATTTAGGAGAGCATTAATCAGAATATTAAATAGCATGGGACTAAGAACTCCTCCCTGCGGTGTACCTAAAGACATTTCTTTAGAATCACTTCTGAAGCCTTGGTAAAGGACAGAGGATACTCTATTTGACAGGTATCCTATTATCCAGCAGAGTAAGCTATCACCAATATTCATTTTGGCTAGTTCATGTAGTATAACGGTTCTGTTCGCAATATCAAATGCAGATTTTTAGATCAAGAAAAGTGGTAAAACTAGTAGAGGTGTGTGCAGTGAGAAAGGTGGAAATACAGTTCTGCACACTTTTACCTTTCATGAACCCATAGAGGTAGGGGGAAAGTTGATGTCTGATTCTATAGTACAGTCTGTTAAGCATTATTCTTTCAAAAGTTTTACAAAGACAACTAGTTAAGGAGATCGGCCTAAATGTATCAGGCTGTTGGGGCTTAGGGATAGGCACAATGAGACTATTGGTCCAGGAAGTAGGAAGAACGCCCTCAATGTAACTGAGATTATACAGTGCCAACAGAGGGTTATCAGGCACGTGCCTTAGAGTTCTGAGAATATCATAGGTTATACCATCCTCTCCAGGAGCAGTTGATCGACCTTTGGTTAATGCATTATCTAATTCATACTCGGTAAAGAGGCAATCACTCTCATCAATATTTTGGCTCATAAAATTAATCAGTTTCAACATTTCTTCAGAAGTACTCTCTAAATTTTTTCTAATATGAGATGGAAGGTTTTCATGCCTGGATGTTTTGGACCAGTCATTTATGAGGTCATTAGCTTTTTCAAGAGGAAAGGGATGAGCAACATTGCCAGTCTTTTCCTGGTTATTTTATTTATACCTTTCCAAGCCAAACTCAAAGGGGTGGACCTATTTAATCCACTAACAAACTGTTCCCATTCCTGTTGCCTAAGTTCTTCCTTTCTATTCCTTGCATTTGTTAGTGCAGCTTGGAACGTTCTGAGCAGGTCTGGGGTTCTACATTCACGGTATGCTTTACCAATCCTCCTAGCTGCATGTGTTAGATTGCGCAGCTGTGGATCATTATAGTATTTACATTGGTTTTTGTTATTTATAGTGGAGGGTCTTTGTTTCCTATTCCTGCCCACTTGATCTGTGAGAACACTCTCAATAGTGGTAATTAAATCATCATTAAATTTTTGTGTGCCAGTGGGCTCGTAATTCTTATACCATTGATCCAAGTGGTTAATAAAGTTAAAAAGAGGAAAGAGAAGAGGGTAAAGACGAAGTAAAAATCCTCGTGTCAATACGCGTGTGGACGTGAACCCGACTATCCCGGGTTCGAACCCGGAATGATGGCGAGTTTGAAGCCGGGATGGCGGTGGGTTTGAAGCCGGAATGGAGGCGGGTTTGAAGCCGGAATGGAGGCGGGTTTGAAGCCGGAATTGAGGCGGGTTTGAAGCCGGAGTGGCGGTGGGTTTGAAGCCGGAATGGCGGCGGGTTTGAAACCGGAATGCTGGGGAGTTCGAACCCACGTGACGTCTTGTTTACACAATACGTCAGGATGACGAAAGTGAGGAGTCTGAGTGTGAATATGTAGAACAATGAATGGAAATCAGAGGTGGGCCACCATTAGTGAAAGCAAGTGTCTGAACGTTGGCACAGCGAGGTGCTGCATGTAGCCAGAAACACTGTTGTTGTTGTTTGTAGTGTGTGTGCTATTTATTACCATGCTTTCTTTCTAGTGTTACTGTTAACAGTGTTCTTGCTGCTGATGCTGTCATTACTGTTGTTTTTTCCAACATTACCAACTTAAATGGTTTTACTTTTTCTCCTGACTGCTGTATGATTTGCTCTTCATACTATCTACTGTGATGGAGATACTACTACTACTATTATTATCCGAGACTACTACTACTACTACTACTACTACTACTACCACTACTACTACTACTACTACTACCACTACTACTACTACTACTACTACTACTACTACTACTACTACTACTACGACTACTACGACTACTACTATCCCCGCTACAACTACTATTATTACAGGTATATATAACCAGCATTAAAGCTGCGTGTGCCACCACTAGACGCACTACTAGTACAACTTTCTATTACGTTGAAATGTGACCGTTTCTTGCCAGTATGATTTTTCGCTTGTGTACACGTGTGTGCGTACCTGTACTCACTTATTTGTGGTTGCAGGGGACGATTCACAGCTCTTGGCCCCGCCTCTTCGCTAGTCTCTACTAGGTCTACTCTCTCCCTCCTCCCTCCTATCGTACATGTGTGTGCATACATGTGTATATGTCCATACATGTGTATATGTCCATACATATAATCACATGAACAAAATTTGTACTCATGACTTCCCATCTGTTACAGTTAATCGTACAAGTTTTAACAATTTATCAGGGGTTTAAAAACTATTTCGACTACTGTCACTCACTAGTCATCTCCCACTCCATTACTGACTGCGTCTCTTACTGTTCCTTCTACCTTGCTAATTGAGCACTTCGTAGTTGTTGCTTCTTGTTCTTGCCTTTTGTCATATTCAGGGTGAAGGGCTAAGCCCGTAGGAGTCATTCAGCGCCTGGGCAACGGGAGGTAATTAGGTTTGATGCACCGCTTGGTGTGTATTCACTGAGACACACATCGTAGCTTATGTATACAGGAATACACACCGAGAGATGTGTATCTGTGTATATAGACAGAGATGCATCTCTCGGTGTGTCTACACATAGATACCCAGTTCTCGGTGTATTTACGCAGATACATAATTACTGATGTATATATAGACATACACAACTCTCGGTATATATACAGATATACATACTTCTCGTTGTAATTTCACACACATACCCCTCGGTGAATGTACACAGATGCACACCTTTGTAACTTGCCATGATTGTGACCAGATCTACCTGGAGTTCATTACCTTTGTAACTTGTTCAACTCTCAAAACTGTGGGGTCCAGTCCCTGGACCCATTATGTACCTCTGTAAAATTTTGACTACCGCCCACAGGATGGGTATGTGGTGACTACCACCCACAGGATGGGTATGTGGTGACTACCGCCTGCAGGATGGGTATGTGGTGACTACCGCCCACAGGATGGGTATGTGGTGACTACCGCCCACAGGATGGGTATGTGGTGACTACCGCCCACAGGATGGGTATGTGGTGACTACCACCCACAGGATGGGTATGTGGTGACTACCGCCCACAGGATGGGTATGTGGTGTATAATAAAGATATTAACCTAACTACTGTAATTACACACCTTTCGGTGTATATCTTGTACACTGATAGATACACACTTCTAGGTGTATAAGGGATTCACACCTGTCGGTGAATATACAATGACAGACACATCTCTACTTGTATATACACAGATATTCAGCTGATCTGCACTTTCAGTGATATGCTTGGTGTAATGCTTACCCTTAGGGCTTTTTTCTTGTCCGGGGTATGTAGCCATGTGAATAATAACATATCTAAGGATATGCAGCTTATACTTTCTCCCACAGAATATATATACCTTGAAGGGTGTATTTCTCTCAGTGTATATATGCTGAGAGTTTACTTTAATCCACAGTTTAAAAAATAAAGTATTCTTGTCTAGTGGTGCGGCCTTAATGACCCTTGTGTCGTTGATAGGCTTTAAACCCCCATTACCCAATCAATTTCCTCTAATGACCTGTAGTAACATGCAGTATTTGTGACTAGTGTCGTTGTTGTTGTTATTTCAATAGGTTTGTTATGCACCCCAGACTCATGGTGTGGGTTGTAGGCAAAAGATTACAGAGACACATAATAGGTCTAGGGACTGTGCCCCAAAGTCCTGATAGCTATGCAAGTTACCCTGACAATGAACAATACATTTACAAGTTTATGATCTGGTTACAGATGCGGTGTGCACTGTTGGTGCTATGTGTGGTGGCGTGGATGTACGTGGACAGTAGCCAGGCACAAAGAAAAAATTTCAGGATTCCATCACGGGTAGAGCTGGAGGTGGCACTCAACAACCCTGACACCGTTGACAAAGCTCTGGCTTGCATCGAGGGTCGTCCATGTCACTTACCGGACACCTATGCTCCGCTCCTGCGCAGTAAGTCACTCTTCTCTTTGGCTTACGCTAGATCCGTAGGGGTCAGACAGTGCCTTGGAAATATAAGGTAATCAGGTTTGATCATAGGAATGGAGAGTAACTCAAATTCCCTAGATAAAAAGGCATTCACCAGCATCACTGTACTGGATTCCTCAGTCTACAGTACAACATAATCTACACTTACATGTGCCTATGACATCTGTGTGCCCTTAAGGCCATTTAAAACTTTGTTTATGGACATTAAACTTAAATAAAACCTACTCCCCGGTTTGTGTTTATCAGTGGTTTATACATATTTTGAGATTTTCATAGCGACAGTGTATATTGGTGAAAGTAGGAGGTACGAGTTGGTAATGACTGGTATAACTGCTCTTACAGACTTGGGTCCCGAGCTGATCCGGAGACGTGAGTGCCCTGCCAGACTGTGTACCCCAGAACAAGCCAGGGAAGCAAAATGGCTCATCGTCCAGATCCAGAAGAGATACCCAAGAAAATTCTACGCTACCGTCAACAGACTTGCCGCAAGGGATCCCTATTTCTGAGTACAACACAGTATTTATTAATAACACTCATAGCTTCTAAGTTAATTTTTTTTAATCAGCAAGGATAAATGTGCATCAGAAAATGCACAATACACGAAGGAATTAATGTTAATGTGTAGCCACGAGTTCTAAAGTTAAGCTTAGAGTCGGCTGGTCCTGACTACCACAATCACACATTTGTGCGTCCTCTTAGTTACTATTATATTCATGCAGCACCTGGGGAATGGGAGGTAATCAGGTTTCACCTGAGGAAGTGTAGCTCCTTTCTCCAACGCTCTTCACAAGCATCAAGGGAACTCATCATCCCTTGGAAGGTTCACTGGTAGTGTTGTGGCCATAAGAGAAGGTTTTGTTGTTATATATAGTGCAGAAGTGAGTCACAGGTACATTACAAACAGGAATTGCATGAGTATCATTGTTCTGCTGTTATGTCATGTTTTGATCAACTCTATATAATTTAATAAACAAAATTACATTGTCAAATGTATCTTTAACTGTAGACTAACAACCATCAGTGATTAAGGCAAATTATAACTTGTTTATGGAGTGCTATATTATTATTGTAATATTCGTATACCAGGGGATAAAGTGTGGCTTATATAATGAAATAACCAGTTTGATAATAAAAACAATAAAAGAACTGTGTTTACTGTTCCTGTATTTTAGTGTAGTAAAATACTATAAGCACAAGATGTATTAACTGCACCATGGTCTTAAGGTCTAGGTTTTAATTAAGGGCGGGACGAGACCTATGACAAATGTTAACACCAGCTACCCATGTTAACTTTACAGTGGATACGTGAAATTAGTCAGCTGCTGTGTATCACACCCTGGAAGAGGGCCTAAGTACCCCAAAGGAATTCCACCTGTACACTATTTGTCTTTCTTGGGTTATCCCTGAATATTAGCCAACCGTGATGAACAGAGCTCAACATGGCAGTCTTCTCAGCGAGGCACCCCTCAAGGGAGATTCCTTGACGCTGGTGAGGGGCTCTTGATCTAGGGAATTGGATCTGTGCTCCAATTCCCTTAATTAAGCCTGAATACTTTTCACCTTCCCCCCCACAGGCGCTGTATAATCCTACGGGTTTAGCGCTTCCCCATGATTATAATAATTCTCAGCAAGGCGCCGGGTGCTTTTCCATGTGATAACCATGTGAGTCACGTGCCTCTGCTCACCCACACTTACAAGGATAATACGCATCCCACTTCTCAAACATGATGCCTTAAGCTGTATCGATAACTTAGTCACACAGAACACTCTTTCACAAATTATTTACGTTGACGGTTCTGTTCACCAGTCCACTGGTGCAGCTGGTAGTGCTGCTGTTGTCATACAGAGTGATGGCTCTCATAAAGAAATTGGAGCACGCATCAATAACTGTGCCTCTACCCTTCAAACAGAACTGTTTGCCATACTCCTTGCACTCAAATGCGTCCATGTATCTAAGGTTGACACTTTAATTGTAACTGATTCTCTGTCATCCATAAATTCTCTCAACTCATTAAGTATAAATTGTGGCATGCTTGTGTCAGAAGCCAGACATAGGTATGGTAAGATTGTGGACAGTGGAGTCAGAGTGCACATGCTGTGGATTCCATCTCACATTGGTCTTCAGATGCATGATAGAACTGATAAATTGGCTAAGCTGTATGCTTTCAAAGAGGGGGTAGATTACAATCTTGGGTTGTCAGTTAGCAGTTTGAGAACAATAATACGAAAAGAACTTCAAATGAACTTAGGGAGATTGACACAAGTCAGTCCATCTATCATCATTCCATCATGCAGGAGGAGCCACATGTCTATGGTGCATCCAACAAGATAAGCAGACTCTTGGATGTCACTACTGCCCGGCTCCGGCTGGGTTACAAGTATCTTTGGCAGGTTAAATCACCACCACCAGATGTAGACCAAACGAAATGTAAACTTTGCCAGATGGACTATTGTCACACCTTGCGTCATTATGTACTGGAGTGTGATCATATTAATGAATTTAGAAACAACTCACTCAGAAATGTTCAAGAAATGGCAAAGTATTTTATCCACAGTGGCATATTACAGACCATTCTGGAGAAATACCCTGACTTTGCTAGCTGTAAATAATGCATTACCATGTGTGTGTGTGTGTGTGTGTGTGTGTGTGTGTGTGTGTGTGTGTGTGTGTGTGTGTGTGTGTGTGTGTGTGTGTGTGTGTGTGTGTGGGTGTGTGTGTGAGGGTGTGTGTGGGTGTGGGTGTGTGGGTGTGGGTGTGTGGGTGTGTGTGAGGGTGTGTGTGGGTGTGGGTGTGTGGGTGTGGGTGTGTGGGTGTGGGTGTGTGTGTGGGTGTGTGTGTGCGTGTGTGTGTGGGTGTGCGTGCTTGTGTGTATGCATATATTTGTACGCTCGTGTGCATATGTCTGTGCGTGTGCCCTCGTCAGTGTGTGTATGTGTGTGCGCGCGCGCTAGTGTGGGTGTATGATCCACTTAATATTTGTATTTATAACTCATTACAATTGTGACCAGATGTGGACGTATCAGTGGTTCATTATTTTGTAATTTGTTCATGACTGTAACCATGTATAGGAGTGAGGCTGATTCATTACCTCTGTAACTTGCCATGATTGTGAACAGATCTACCTGGAGTTCATTACCTTTGTAACTAGTTCAGCTATCATAACTTTGGGGTCCAGTCCCTGGACCCATTATGTACCTTTGTAATCTTTTGACTACCGCCCACAGGATGGGTATGGGGTTGCAAAAATTAAAGGTTTTTAAACTAAAAACCCATTTTTCCGGGGGCTGGAATGTGACGTTTTTGGGCCCAAAGGAACTTTGTTTTTTGTGTGTACTAAACCTTTTGTACTACCAATTTGGGGGGTTTCGGGGGGGTTTCGATTTCACAGCCCCGGGCCCCGCCTCTTCGCTGATTGCTCCCAGGTCCCCCCTTCTCCCCCCCCCATGACTCTAAAATCCCCTCCCCCTTTAAAACTAGGAATGGTTCCTGCCTCCCCACATCTTTTTCTAGGCTATTCCATGGCCTGACTACTCTATGACGGGAAAAAAATATTCCAAACACCCCTTTAAATTTCATCGGGTTTTCTTCAATTTCCCCCTTTTGTGCCCTTCTTGGTCTTTGCCCCAGCCTTTTGGAACTTTCCGTCTTTGCCCCACCCCCGTTATTCCGGCAGTTTTTTATATGTCTTTTACCTTGTCCCCCCCTGACCCTCCTGGTCTCCAGTGTCGCGGGCCCGTTTTTCCCCTAAACCTTTTTTCATAGGACAATCCCCCGTAGCTCGGGGAATCTTTTTTGCAAACCTTTGCATTTTTCTCAAATTCCTGAGGGTGGGGGGACAGGGTGGGATTCCAAACGGGTTGCTGCATACTCCTTTATGGGCCGGGACGTAGAGGGTTTTTCAGGTTTTAAAACCCGAACCTTATGAGGTATCGGAAGCTATCCGTGGGTTTTTGGCCAGGCCCCGTTTTGTGAAAGAATTTATTGTTTGGTTTGCGCCTCGGAAAATTTGCTTGGGTTTACTCACCCCCAGATTTTTTTCCCTTTTGAGTGGGTTTGCAGCCCTTTGGGCCCAAATCTAAAACAATATTGGCTGCGGTTTTTTTTTCCCCTTCCCCAATCTTCAGACTTTGAATTTGGGGGGGTTTAAAAATTAAAGGGAGCCAGTTGCGGGGACCAGGTTGTACCCCTGTCCGAATCTCTTTGTATTCCGCCTGATCCTCGTCCGTTTCCGATTTTTCTCTTTAAACTTCAAAAGGTCTGAAAACAAGGACACTTCTGAGCCCTACCCCTTTCCCGTTATGTCGTTCACTTTTTCCAAGAACAGCACGGCCTGGGAAATGCCCCCTTGTGGAAACCCCGTTTGTCACGGGCGCCCCCCTCTGCCCCTGGGCGCGAACCATGACTCTTTTGTTGCCTCCCGTCAATATTCTTTGTGTGTTTTGTGTGTGTTTGTGTGTTTTGTGTGTTGTGGTGTGTGTGTGTGTGTGTGTGTGTGTGGTGTGTGTGTGGTGTGTGTGTGTGTGTGTTTTGTCGGGGTTTTTAAAGGGTACGCCTCAGAACTTTTGCCCAAAAGTGAAAAGGGTTTTTTTGTCCTTAGTTGTTTTCAAAAGGGTTTTAAAAGGAAAATTCTGTCCGGGCCTTCGGGGGCGAACCGTAAATGGGTCAGTTTCTAGGGGGGGAAAAGGGAGAAGCCCGGGAAACCCTGGTTTTAAACAAGTGATTGCTCAAAAACGGTTCCAAGGCGCCTTCCAAAGGGGGGGTCGGTCATTGGATCCAGAAGATAATGTTTTTGTGCCATTCATCTTTAAATACAGAAAAATTTTGGGGGGGGCATTCCCAAAAAATTTGAGAAAACAAAACCCTTACTGAGCTGCGGTCCTTCCACTGCGACGTGTTTTTCCCAAAAAACACCTCTTACCCTGCCGGGGTACACAGTCCCAGGATGGTACCTACAAAAATTTACTGAACAATCCCTAGCAAACCCAACATGCTAAAAAACCCCCTTGCAAGCATCAATAAAAAAAATAATGGAGGGGGAAAAACCCAAAAAAAAAGTAGGAATCATCACCTTAAATAGTAACTCCGGGAATCTGTAGGAAAATTCCAGTTACCTGGAGGGGGTTTTTCGGGGGGTAAACCCCCCCGGGGGCCCGGGTTTAAAACCCGGGCCCAGGGTTGGACCCGGGGGTCTGTAAACCCAGGCGTTAGGGCCTTCCCAAACCCTTACAAATAACCACACCCCTTTTTGGCCACCCTACTGATTTTAAAGTTTTTTCCCAGTCCCTTCTTAAAGGACGAAGGGGTCTTTGGGGTTTAACCCCCCTTATATAGGGCTGGGAGGCAATTGAAAAACTTGGGCCCCGGAAAATTTTGTGTGACATCCCCCATCAGAGGCCCTGCCAGAGGGCCAAAATGTGTTTTATGTCCAAAGTGACCCAAAATTTCCATTGGGGGGTAGTAACAGACTATCCCCCTTTTCCAACGGAAGGCGAAAGGAGCCCCCATAAAGGGCGTTTGAAGAATCTTTAAAAATATTTGAAATTAAATTTTTTTTCCCTGTTTAAACACAAAAACCCCCTTTGGGATCTTTCAACGCCTGGCAGAGGAAAGGAAGGGGTTTCAGGTATATTCCCTTTAGATCAAGACCCCCTCACCGGCGTCAAGTACCCCCCCTTGTTTGGTTTAAATTTGGGCAAACCCCCCCAATTTTTTTAAAAAAAGGGGCAGGGGCAAAACTAATTGGAAGATTTTTAAAACGATTGTACAGTGCTTTTAGATCCTTTTTTAAAAAAGAATTTTTAAAATGTGAACCCAAAAACCCGTTTGTTTTAAAATATTTTTTTCATGAAACAGGCCCCGCCTCCACCATTCCTTGTGCAAAATGGCGCACACGGGTTTACTCTTCAATAAAATCAAAAAAGGGAAACCCCTGGGTTGCCTTTTGGTTCATTTTTCGTACTATCATAGTGTTTTTACAGTAACTTGCTTGTCTTCCAAGCTTGAGGTCCGTCCCCCGTCCAATGTGCCTCGCTAATAATAATAATTATAAAATTTAATTTAACTTTTTTTAAAAAATTCCTTTTAAAAACCAGGGAGAAAAAATAATAGAGACATAAACAAACACCATTGGGTTTACCTGGAGAGA